CACTCACCGTGGGCCTGCCTTTCCTCCTGCCACCACATTAACTGCATGTATGTTGCCGCCGCACTCACCGTGGGCCTGCCATTCCTCCTGCCACCACATTAACTGCATGTATGTTGCCGCCCCACTCCCCGTGGGCCTGCCATTCCTCCAGCCGCCGCATTATCCTCGCGCAGAAGGACATTTATTATCTGTCCATATGGCCGGCTTGGTGGCCCTCCTTTATTTCCCCACCCAGGATACGAGCATTTGATTTGTGTGCCCGGCCGGGCGCTCTCTCGTGTCGAGGGCCTCTGTTTAGACAGAGCGCTCTGTGTCACCTCTGCCACTGTCTTTTTGGGTCGGGAATTACGGCCCTCCTTGCTTCTGTGGCAGTTGGATGAAGGCAGGGGTGCTGTTTACCACCACTCAAACTGTGCCCCCTTTTGGCTGCAAACAGTCATTACACTAAATATGAAACACATTCCATATTTAGGAGATACTGAAATAGTATGTTCCACTATCCAGCCAGGGAGCTACGATCTTCTGATTGTAACTGCTAGCTACTTATTTCGTTTTTGAAGCATTATGGGGGGGGGGGGGGGGTTTTTTCAGACCCCAGAATCAATAATCCTGTCACCCCTGGAACCAGTGGGGGTAGGTCTGGGAGTGTTGGAATGTTTGGGTACCTGCAAGGTTGAGGCCTGATGCTTGTGATCTTGGCAGGGTAGGGCGGGGCTTGGTGGAATAGGGTGGGGCTTGCTTTGGAGGGGCGGGGCTTGGTGGAATGGGGTGGGGCTTGGTTGGATGGGGCACGGCCTAACAGGATGGGGTGGGGCTTGGTGACACCACATTAGCTGTGGAATCCAGTGAAGCCATTCAGGAAGGTGGTATTGCACTAATCTACATTGCGTAATAACATAAAGGGCGGGTGATGTGTGGCTCAGCTGGTTAGTACGCTGTGTCTGTGATTAAGAAATCCCAGGGACAGCAGAGTGATCTCAGAGTGATCTCAGAGTGATCTCAGAGTGATCTCAGAGTGATCTCAGAGTGATCTCAGAGTGATCTCAGAGTGATCTCAGAGTGATTCGGGTGCCTGAGTAAAGCCCTTAACCCCCAGTCTGACCCTCCTCTCACAAATGTGCATCACATTGAGTAAAAGCTTCTTCTAAATTAATAAATGTACTTAATTACTGGATGATTTTGTAGCCGTTCTTCAGAAAAGCCTCAGAGTTTGTGTGTCGCAAACCTGCATACAGCTGCGTGTGTCTTGGCTCTGAGCTCCTCCTGTTTTATTCCTGGGGTGTGCATGTGCTTTTAATGCCTGAATCCTGAGTCACGGTCGCTCTGGCTAATCAGTCGGACGCTGTGGTCTGGTCCTCAGCCATGGCTGCTGTTTCCGGGTTGCTGTTGCGGTTTTCCCCTCTGGTGCTTCTGGGAGGTGCGAGGTCTCCCAGGTTAGTGGAAAAAAGCGCCATCTAGCTGCAGATTTCATCAAATGATTTATCATTCATGCACCGTTTCTGGCACAATGCTTTCCTTATAAATCTTATGCATCCTTCATCAAAAGCGGGAGGCTTCATGCTTTATCTTTTTCTGTTGGCCTGCCTGTTGTCCAGTGGATGAACTTTATTTGTTGGAAGTGCAATGCAAAAAGCTCTGTGAGAATCCTAAATGTCTTTCAGCCAGGCTATGTGTTCCCTAGTTAAGCTGCCTGCCTATTGACGGGGGGGGGTGAAAAGGGCATGTTCCAGAGAGGCTGTAGCAGCAGGCCTGCTAATAGGGCCCAGGCAGGTGCAGGAAAGCCAATGATCAGCAGACGGGCTCTTCTGTCCTGTGGATTCTGGGTCTCTGCGATCTTAAAGGAGGTCCATTCTTCTCCTGGTGGCTCCTTAGAATGTTCTAGGTGATCTGGACCAAGTGTGGACCCTCTGGGTGCAGGTGAAGTCGTCATTGTGATGGCGATCATCTCGCCTGGAGCGTCAGATGTGACTCCCGGTTTTACCCATACCTTTAACTTAAAAATGACCTGGTACCAGTTAATCTGCTAACGTTATCTGGTACCAGGTCATGGTGAGCTGGCAGGAAATGCCAGGGACAGCCTGGACAGGATGCCAGTCCGACGCAGGGCTCATACGCAAATTTTATTTAGGTGTTGGGATACCGTCGTGACCTTGATATTTTTGGCCTGGCAGTGTGAGTCCAGCCTGAGATACTCCGACTGGGGGGTTGTTTCGCTCCTTGGCATCTTGGGTGGGCTCTCACTGGATGGGATGGTTGCTAGGGTTACAGCGGAGGGGGGTGCCAGCGTGGAGGTGGA